CAAAATCATACAAAATCAAATATATAGTACAGGAAAAATAACCCACCAATTAATTTCAATTAAATATTATATACGACGAACAAAATCGAACATTAGACCTCCAAAGGCTGCAAGGATCCAACATGTAAACGACGATCTTAGATTTGAAAACTCCACCATTTGTCCGGCCATGTTCATGGTATAAAATATAGCAAAACTGAGTTGAGCACCAAAAATGATGTTGCCCGAGTTGCAATGACTCCCTTGTCCATTCGTGGAGACTATAAAAGGGAGTAATAATAATTATAATACTTTGTGTGATTGTTGGAATGTTGCTAAAATGTAACTTGGGCTTGTACAAGTATCGACCTAGGACCTGCTATGTTAGTGATTCTATGTGCTCTATACGTCTGACTAGGAGAAATATTTTTCTATCCATTTGTTGGTTCTTATTATGTTCTTATAATTTTTGAGAACAATATAGATATGGATTATGGATGGTGCTTAGATTTTTTAACGACATTATACAATAAAATTGTTGCTCCAAGAGATGGCTATAGATCTCACTACGTGTAGGTCATTTATTTACTAGTTTAGTAATAATTAATGTGTCCACTAATTGGATTGCTCTTCTATCATCGTGGTTGAACCTGAGGGTTTTCATTTTCTAGTGCAAATTGGGGAAAGTGTACCTTTTGATGCTTTTTCTGGGGGTTGATTTTTAAGGGGGTGTATTCAATTAGAACTTTTGAAGATTTTTCTGTGGATTTCATGAATTTTTTATAGATTTGTATAGAATTAGTGAAAGTCTTTTGTCTTTTGATGCTTTTTTTGCGGGTTGATTCTTAAGGGGGTGTATTCAATTAGAACTTTTGAAGACTTTTTTGTGGATTTCATGAATTTTTTTTATAGATTTGTATAGAATTAGGGTGTGTTTGATGGATATTATTTTGGAAAAATGTATTTTGAAATAGTAGATTCATGGAGAATGTGTGGTTGAAAAAGAAAGAAAAATTATTGATGTGATGGAAAATATTATTTTAATGAAGAATATGTGGTTGAAAATGAGAACAAGAACGAGAATGAAAATTTTAATGGGTACCAAACAAGGGCTTGGTGGAAGTCTTTTGTAGACTTCTCTAGACTTTTATTTTAAAACTTTTATAAACTTTTCTAGAATTCAAATTACTTTTGAAGACTTTCATTTGAAATAGAATTCACATTGATCTAGTGAAATAATGTGAAATTTTCACATTCCCACAAGTCCCCTTCGCCTTCTCCTTTCCCTGACCGTATAATAAAAAAACTTAAAAGAATAAAATTTTATGACTTTAAAAATAGATATTTTTCACAGAAAATGAATGAAAAAGAAAAAAGTTATAAGAATCCAATTTAATTTTTCTCATAGAAAATAGAGATAAACAATAAGAGGGAGTGAGAGAAAGAAAAATAGAAACAAATATAATCAATAATAAAATTGTTTTTAATCATAACTCTAATGTTCGTAGAAGGAAAAAAGGAAAGAGAAATATTGAAAAAAAAAATACATATTAATTTCTTAATTTTTCTGTGAAAGTCTCCCAAAATCTTATAATTATTGAGAAACAAATTTTGAGATATTATTTTAGTACTTTTTGCTTAATAGACACTTATAAAAGTCTCTAAAAGTCATTAAAATTTGAATACCCCAAAACTTTTAGAGAGTTCTAATTTTTTAATTGAATACCCTACGACTTTTAGAGACTTTTTAAAAGTCTACAAAAGTTTCAATTGAATATACCAATACTTTTAGAGAGTCTCAAAAAGTTCATATTGAATATCCTTAAACTTTTTAAATCCCAGAAAGTTATTAGAAGTTTCAATTGAATACACTCCCGATAGTTGTCGTAGAACATTTTGTTTTAATTAGTATAGGATTTTTGAAATGAGATGGCTTTTTAAGTTGTGGGTGCCTTTTATGGCAGGACCAAATTTTTTTCCTTGCTTTTCTCATTGTATGGGTTGCTCTTACTGTGTGTGCCACTGATCTCCTTATATCTTGTTGGGCTCAATGGAGGTTAGATATCTCCTTAAGTTCTTTGATTCCACATGGAATATTATATTGAAATTGTTAATGTAGTCATTTTCAAATTATTGATATATTCTTGATCTAATTTTGACCATTATTTTATCAAATATATTGGTAATACTTTGGTTACTCCACCTCTGCCTGTCCTTATAAATGCCTCTTCCTGTGTGGCATTGTTACATTGCATTATTAACTTGTTTATTTTCAAATTTCTGTTGTGACTAACATTTTGTAGCACTGAGAATTGAGATGCTGATGCTATAGGTAATACTCTATAAGATTTCTGGCGATGCTGTTAGCTCTAGTGATGGCAAGTTGGTTTCTGATCCAATTAAGAAATGGATCTATGTTGGCTATGTGAGAGCTCATACACACGATGTGAGGGCCTTGACTGTAGCGGTACCTATCAGTCATGAAGGTTGGTTTGTGCTTTCGATAATCCTGTAATTTTTTGGCATTATGGAATGATTTTTCTGTGTGCTTTTCTTTCCTTTATCTTCTCTCACGCAGTGTGTTCTCGTTGTTAATATTTTGGGCCTGGGAATTCTAATTTTTCTTCTCCTGGGCAGATGTCTTGCCTGATGAAAAGGTGAAAAGGACCCGTGGCAGGAAGAAGCCCCTTGACTTTAGTTACCATAAGTGGGCCCATTTAGGTGTACCCATGCTCATTTCTGCTGGTGATGATACAAAACTTTTTGCATATTCTGCCAAGGAGTTCACCAAATTTTCTCCGCATGATATATGTCCTACACCACAGAGAATGCCCATGCAACTCACGCTGAAAACATTTTTCAATCAGACTCCATTGCTTCTTATCCAGGCTTCTTACTGGTTAGATATTTATTGCGTTTGTGTAAAAAATGATGCTGTCTCTGACGTTAGTCCAGGCTCATCTGCTGGGATCGCAACCACAGATTTGGTGGCAAGGATTAAATGCAAGGCTTCTCGGAAGATAGTTTGCAGTACAATTTCTTCGTCAGGCACATCATTTGCTTATTCCGATCATGTGAAATCCAATATATTTGAATTGAAACGGAGTAAATCAGGGAAAAATGTCTGGACTGTAAAGAAAAGACAGCTCCACTGGGAATTGCCCTATGCCCATTGCATGGCTTTTAGTTCCGACTCTTCACGTTTAATGATAGCAGGGCATGATCGGAGGATATACGTATGTCTCCTCTTTCTTATTTTTCTCTTGCCGAATTTTACTTTTATTTGCCCTTAAGCAATGGTATATTTTGATTTATTATTTGTCATTGTCTTGTCCTTTATTCGTCCACATGCATGTGCTTGGCTTACAATTGATGAGAAATGGTTCATGTAAATTATGTCTATGGCTCAACTCAACAAGATTTCTGTCATGTATCGTTATTACATGACCGAAGCATGTTGTATAAGCTGCTTCACAAATCTAAATGTGCAAACCACCCAACTCATTACTGCACCTATTACTGGTGCATTTACTCTGTGATATATGACATATAATGTGCAGTAACTAGTAACAAGAGCACCAACTCAGTCGCAGCATGAACTTCCATATACTTAAATGTTTTGCAAGGGAAAAATGCTTAAAATTGATTTGTTTCACTCTAGCTTGATTACTATTTAGAATGTCTGTATTAAAGGAATTTCAGAAACATGAATGATGCTTTAAATACAGTAAATCCATAATTGGAATATAAATCCATGTTGACGTTGGATGTTATTTGGGGCTGTGATACTCAGGCTTTTAAATACCTTGGAAATGTTATTCCCATGTACCTATGGTTTCATGAATGTGTAAAGCACTAGTGATTTATTTTGCTAAATTGGATTTCTAATGAAAGAGTGACTTTATGGATGGTAGTTGCTGGAATACTAAGATTTGGTAATTGGAAGAGCCTCTCTCCATGGATGTCATTTATTAAGTAGACAGGTGAGTTGAAAATTAAATACCTTGGAAATATTTTTCCCCATGCACCTATGTGGTGTCATGAATGTATAAAGTATGAGTGAATTGCTACCTCTTGACAACTAATGTAATTTTGTATGTGCAAGAAACAGGGCAGTTAGTGCTTTCACTTTAACCTTTTAAGGTGATCTCTTGTTTGGAGGAGGCCTTTTTGTTGTCTTGGCATGAGTGCATAAATTGAAAATTGAATGAAAGCAGTTCGAGATTCTGATGATAATTTGGTCTCAAAAATAGTTTGGAAAGGTGAAATACCTTGTTGTATTAATTTGAATGACTAAGTAATCTTGATTGATGATTTTTTTCTGACTTCATTAAATATCTTGACTCAAAAACATCCTTATCAACATCTTTCTTCCATACGCACATGGCCCTAATTTGATGCCTTTGTCAATACAACTAACCATTGCTACCAAACATTACCGAAGGAAGCATTTTGGCCATTCAATTAAGTGTAAGTTTAGAGTATATCTGAAACTTCACGTGCTATTGCGTCGTTTGTCACATTTTGTGGACTAGTGGTCTAAGTTATCATTCATCATCATCTTTTCCTTGCAATTTGGTTATTGTGACAATCAAGTTGATTGTTTTTGTAGAACTTGTATAATTTTTGTGTATTCAATTTATCATTTGTTGTTTTGCGCAAAATAGTAATTCTCCATTGAGTCTTGATAAATTCTATTTATGGTGAAGTAATCCTTTCCATCAAACAAAAATACATAGATAAATGAACAAATAAATCAAATGTCATGATGAAGGTTGCTTGATATCGAGTTTAGAGTTTTTGAGAGTCAATATGTTTCAGCAATTCAAAATCTTCATCCTATATTTTTTTTCTTGTTTGCAGATAGTGGATGTGGAAAGTTGTGAACTAGTTCATGCATTCACTCCTTGTCGTAGAGACCAAGATGAGGAATTGCCACCTAGTGAACCTCCTATTACAAAAATGTTCACGAGTATTGACGGCCAATGGCTGGCTGCCATCAACTGCTTTGGAGATGTGTATATATTTAATCTAGAGACTTTAAGGTTTGTAATGCAGACTCTGATTGGGTTCAGTTTTTCTCCTTTCTTGTAAGTAGTATAATCGTACTTATTTCTTGTAAACTGGATAAACAAAGAGAACGTTTGGTGAACTTTTATGGTGGTTTGAAAACAAATTCATGAGAAGCATGATGTTACTGGACTTCAAAAATTCTACTAATATTTTGTAGTCTTGAAGATGCACATGGTAGTTCAAGGCGTGCGCCTCATTTAAAATTTGATTTTTCAATTGTATGAAAAGAAATCAGAAAGGGTCATTCTTAAAAAGAAAAGTGCAGACTATTATGCTTCTTTTTTAGTTTAAACTGTTTCTTTTTTCCATTACAAATGTAGTGATTTCTAACTTCTGTAATGCTTTTTTTT